TGGTATGGTATGGTATGGTATGGTATGGTATGGTATGGTATGGTATGGTATGGTATGGTATGGTATGGTATGGTATGGGGACTATGGTATGGTATGGTATGGTATGGTATGGTATGGTATGGTATGGTATGGTATGGTATGGTATGGTATGGTATGGTATGGTATGGTATGGTATGGTATGGTATAGTATAGTAGGATAGTAGTATGGTAGGTAGAACGTAGGTAGGTCAGTATACAATTTTTATGTAATTAGTTGACATATACATACTGTGTGTTTCTAAGCAGTAGAGTATGCTGCATTTCTCGCAGAGCTCTATAAGTAGAGAACTCAATAACACAATAACACATTATTAGCATCTTCTATTATCTACTCTTCACATATATATATAACGGCCGTGCATCCATGTCATGCATACTTAGACATCGACATTGTCGACGCAAGCAGCTGCTTGGGCGGCCGGCCGAGGGAACGCTAGTTCAAGCCGTTCTGCTGCGGCCACTGGCGCCACAGGACACTTGTACTTGGGCGCTTCGGCAAGCACGCGTTAAGGCCGAACGTGCGTTACGTGGAACTTGGGTTCCTTCGCCACTTCTGCCCCTGCCGCGATGCCTGGTTTGTACCATCCACAGATGATCCACCTGACCTTCGCGTCCTTGTAGTATTTCACTACTGCAGAACATGCTTCCCGGATCGCAACATGATCGACCAAGTCTCGCGCGTTCATCTGCAACAAAATATCACACAAACCAAAGTCAATGACCTGCTTATGTACCTATAGGACTACAGCTCATGTACACTTCCAACACGCCTATACCACATTCTATTACGCATGCCACGCACAAAGTTATTAATGCTTACTTGCTCCTATAAAACGTCTGTCGTACACAATTCATGCGTGTTATGTCAAGTCAACATCGATGTCTTAAGTTATATCGGAAACTTACATTTCACCTGTAACTATCGTTGAAATAGTGTGCGTACGCTATTGGCATTGCTTGTGATCGACCATTGCATTTAAGAAGTTGAAACAACCATGTTCACTAAAAGCGCGAAATTTCACATATCACTTATAATACACACATGATCACCAGCATACTCGTTGGCGCATTTCTCTTGTCCATGAAGATGATGCACATATGCCTTTCAAATATGACACTATCATTGACCACATAGTAAGCTAGCTCTAGAACTATAGCCCTCTGATCTGCCGCAGGGCTATACAACATACTATGGCAATTTTCAGGTAGTAATCAAAGACAACTTTTTCCCTTTCAGCGGGCACAATGTATTTGCAAGTGGAGGGGTGGGTAGGTTGCACGCGCGTTGAAGCGCCATTTGTCGTTGCGCAGCGCTAGCGCCGTTTGCAACCGCGTGGAACCTGGCCACCCCTCCACTTCGAAATAATACGTCGCCGAGTAAGTACAACATTTCAGCGTTAGTTTGCACTTTAATTATAGTGTTTGTAGTAACTTAAGACATTTCTCTGGCACAGAATGTGCTTTATTTGCCATAAGGAAGAACTTTATAATGGGCAAACAGGGCGAACGGATTACTACGTGGAAATTGCCATAGTATCAAGCGCGATAGTATGTTGTATAGCCCTCCGGCCGAGCGGAGGGCTATAATTCTAGAGCTAGTAGTAAGCTAGCTGTAGTAACTATAGCCCGCCTACAGTTGCCGCTGGCTACCGTAGCCAGCCGCCAGCCGCCAGCACCAGCGGCAAGTGTAGACCGCCAGCCAGAAGGCTATATATTAAGTATTATATTACGAATACAGCATATTATGTATAGGACTTCTTTGCCATGTTCTACTTCATCCTTTCAGAGTTCTGATGAGAAACACAACAGGATACAGTCGGGAATGCCCCAGCTTCCTCCTCCTCCATTGCCCTCATTCTCATCTGAGTCATTCAGTGTGCAACCCCCTGCACCTCCCATCTCCTTATCAGCTCAACCACAATTGCTACCGTCGTCACTACTCCAACTTGTCCAACTAGTCCAAGAGTTTCCAAAAGCCCATCTCCAAACATCTATTTCAGAACCACACATAGCAGCAGCACCAACCATAATTTGTCCGCCCAAACCCCCGGCCACGCCCTACATATCAGTTCTGCGCGTCAGAAAGCAACCAGAGCTTCATTTCGGAGCGGCGTCATCTGCTGTTAATCTTCCCGCTGAGCCGCCGCCGTTAACTGCTACAGAGGCATTGACCAGTAGTGGCAAACCGTCGGTGTTGACACTTGGGCAGACAGGGACGTCCATGAAAGAGAGCAAGAACAAGAAGGTATACTGTTGTAGTTGCAAGGGAAAAAAAATTCTGGCAGAAAGGGTGTGACACCGTTTTTAGCTCATCTGACATAGTCAGATTAGGAAATTTCTCCTATCATCCTAAAAATGTATACACTAGCTAGGAAATTTCTCCTACAAGTCTAAACTAGCGGGGACATGTATACACTAGCTGGGAAATTTCTCCTACCAGTCGACACTAGCTGGGAAATTTCTCCTACAAATCTAAACTATCTAGAAAATGTATACACTAGCTGGGAAATTTCTCCTACCAGTCGAAAGTAGCTGGGAAATTTATACACTAGCTGGGAAATTTCTCCTACAAGTCTAAACTAGCTAGAAAATGTATACACTAGCTGGGAAATTTCTCCTAGTCTAAACCTTTTTCTCCGGTCATCCTAAACTAGCTGGGAATGTATAAACTAGCTAGAAAATTTCTCCTACAAGTCTAAACTAGCTGGGAAATTTTGCTAGAACACTCGAGTCAAGACAGCGAATATTTGTGTGAACTTACCTTTTAAGATTATTCAATTTACTGTCTAAAGATCCAGCGATGGGGTGTTGGCTGTTGCATTGAAGTGAAGAATGTTTTGTGTTGATCTGTCGACTTGATTATAACTTGTCTCTCCGTCTTCGATATACTCCCTTGGAATTAGTAGTAGACTAGCTAGTAGTCGTACTCGACGTCAAGACGAAAGTGTCGTGTTTCCCGCAATTCGGTTGAAGTATTTACCGGATGACGTCATGTGACGTCACGTGACGGTTAGGTGTGCATGCGCAGAACACGCAGCGTCGACTTATTTACCGGCTGAGAAATTTACCAGGATTAATATGTACCACGTATGTCAGCACTGCAAGTCAATAATACGCTGTGGCTATATGCCCGGCTGCCGGGCATATAGCCACAGCGTATTATTGACTTGCAGAGCTGACATATACGTGGTACATTAATCCAATAGATGCCACACAGCACAGCTGATGGATTATAAATCTTACACTATAGGTCCATGGTTATAGGTTCATTTATACTACTATATGTATTAGCAGTTATTGAGTTAACATTCCCCATGCAATGACTGACCTGTAGGCTTGTAACGGAGTTTGCCTCTCAGTGACACGCTCTTCGTGATCTTCATGTTCTGTCGCGGCTGAAGTTTCACTCTCAACTACAAATTCCAGCAACTGCTCGTCTGTTATATCGCCCCAGTCAACAGACATGACCTGAAATCACGTAAAAAAAATTTTTACTACAGCGAACCGTGTGGAGCAGGGCTCGAATTAACCGAAGGCACCGACGGCAATTGCCGTCGGTGCCCCTATCAATCGCCGTACTGCCCCTGAAAATCTAACCCGACCGACGGCAGTCACCTGCCTTGCCCTTTTGTGTAATTGCTGTCGTTGCCCTTTATTCTACTGCCCTAGTTTCGTCTTTAGTCGAGTCAACATAACACGTGCGCTGTTGCGTGCTGTAGTTGCATATGATCGAGCTTAAACGATTAGTGCAGGAGGGATGAATACGGCAGTCGGCGATAATTATTCGCTTCCTGATAGCGGGACCATGCTCAATTTCTTGTTTACTGTACTATCCATTAGCGAGGGGCACGACGGTACAGGGCGTTCGTCGGTGTTACGCGTGTTAAGCTGGGCATGTGCGCCTTATTGTTTTTGTCATTAGAAGCAGACGATTTGACTGTAATAGATTTGTTATGAGTTTTCCTTTATTTTACAAAAGCTGCTTTGTTCCTTCTAAATTTGAGAGTTGTGTCTTGCCGTGTCTTTTAATTGCCTCTGTGCTTCATTTTGTAGTAAATTCAGGCGATTTGTCAGCCCTAAAAATGCCTCTGCCCTTCTCGTCGTTAATTCGAGCCCTTGGCTGTGGAGTGTACCCGACTAGGCCTATGCGCTTATGCTCGCTGGCAACCTCAGTGCCTTGCGTTGCCACACTTTCATTATGATAGCAATAATGTAACCAGCCAGAGGATAGGGTACAAGGCCTCCCTATCTTTTGGGCGGAGATGCCCGAGTGATCACTGGGCGGTTTGCTGGTGCGTTTTCAGAGGACTAGAACTTCCAAACTGGGTTTATTCTCCCGGACCTTTCTCGCTATCTGGAATTTACTTGCTATCGCTATTACTCTGTATTAAATTATATACCCTGTTTACAAATTCGAATGCGCAGCGTGCGCTATATGAGCGCGCATTTCTGTTTGACCTGTGACGTAACGCATTTCTCAAGGCCGCATATGCGATCGGCAAACGCAAGCGCCCTCCGAGGTTGCGGTCGTTGAATCCCGCCTTTCAACCGAGTACTACACAGTAGTCACAGAATGGCGCTCAGTATAGTTAGCAGCCTCTCCTTCGATTTCTACTGTACAGGGTATATTAGCTTTAATACAGGTATTCGCGATACTAGTAGTTCCAATAGGCGAGAAAGGTTCGTTGCAGAATTAACCCGTTTGGAAGTTCTAGTCTCTGAAACGCCCAGAACGGCCGAGTGTTCTCGGGGGCAATTTTTTTCTCCAGCACAAAAGGATGAGAGGCTTCTGGTACATTATCTCTTGGGTTTGGGTTACATTATTGTATCTAACGTTTCATATGTAATTAGAAACTTTAACCGTATCATCCTGGACAGAGAGTCCTACACTAGCCCACTCGATTTGCTTTTCGACCTTCCATTTCCAAGTTCCAACATGTCCCTAGCCAAAACATGGGGCCCAAGTTGAGTTACCATGCACTGAGTCTGATGTAGCTAGCCTCTAGTACTATAGCCCGCGTACATTGACTGCCGCAGGCCAGTCATCAAATCATGACAGCAAGGAGACTGCAGTAACAGACCAACTATTTTACTATCTTATACTACTATAACACACTTTAACGAGTTTTTACTGACCGTTTTAATAAGTCACATAATCGTGTTTACAATCTTCTGTCTCGCGCCGAAAACCTTGGCGTGACGTCATTAGAAAAAAAGTGCCTCACGTTTGATTGGCTGAAAGCATTACCCTGTCATGTTCTCTTGTTTTATCTGCGGCTAGATTTGCTATATTTCGGAGTGACAGTCGTTTTGTTTTGCTTTTACTAGGTTTGTAATTTTACTTTTTGTCTGTACGTTCTAGTCGTACATTTTAAAAGCTGACGCAGATCAATATACAGTCGTAGTTGCTAACGAATTCAAAAGGTCATCAGTGTCGCTAAGTACCCTACGCGATATCTAACCGTAAAGTGTCCGTGAAACACACACATTTTTTAGACTGTACTCTGTAGTAAAATTCATTCATTCACTTACTGCCCTTACCGGCTAGTATCTACTTAACCTTATTATCATAAGGTAAGCCTTTAAAGTCTAAGCCAAGGGACTCTATCGAAGTCTATCGAAGATGTATTTGTTGTGATCTGGAAGTATTCAATGCATGTATGCTCGGCATCGACTTCAAAATGCAATCGTATTGTGTTGTTAATAATAATAATTATAAATAATAAGTTACAATTTACATGTCATTAATGAGTCGTTTTGTTAATTATCATTACCTGTTTAGGCTGTTAATGACATTACCTATTAAAATTATTAACAGAACAATACGTAAAATACAACGTACTACGTACATCTATATTAGTATTATTACGTATACTTCCAACACTCACAATCCCACTTCTAAGTTCTAACTAAGAAACCTTCAATCTTTAGAACATTGCGATGCCAGGGTCTGACGTGATGGCGAAGCCAGACCCAGACCCAGCGTTAGCTAACGAGGATGATCCTGAGGTCATCATCGGAGTTGACAACTTTCAGCAAGCTCTTGATGAGGCTTTCAAAGAGATGGACCTAGGTTTTCACTGCGCACAGGCGCTGGCTTTTCTTGCCACGCAAACAACATCACTTGAAAGTAAGATTGGTGGCATGTTGCATGTATTATTAATGTTATTATGCCAAAGTTAATATTAATATAATAATTATTATTATAGTTATTTAATATTATTATTATGACAGTAATAGCAATAATATTGAATTTGTTTGTAGATATAATGCAACCATGCCAAGAGAGCAAGTGAATCTGTAGTTGTCATAACATGTTTGATGTATTATCAATCTTGTATATAAACATTAATTGGTTTAGAATAGTTTCTGCCCTAAGCCTGAGTCGACGTAAAATTCGAACTACACGGCTACAGTGTAATTCCACTGTTTTTAGCACAAAAGAAGGATGTTAGCAAGATGTTTAGCAACGTTGAATCAACCCTGGTCAGAGTGAAAAAGGAGATGGAAGAGGCACGCGTAGATGATGAGATACGGTAATTTGTTACTAATGATTCTAGTATGATATGCCAAACAGACATCAGCTATTAAATAGTTAAAACGGTTCACCGTCGGTTTCATACTAGTACTTGCACGTTTGCCACATAGCTAAAATTGCGCGTCATACAACTTGTAGACTAGTTGTAGTTGTTAAACACTACTATTAAGCAGCAGAATTCGTGTGAAAATATCTTTCGCACGAACGTGGCAGCAGGCCCGTAGCCAGCTTTATATTGGGAGGGGGTTCGTTTTTAAATGTTGGCAATTTGTGAGGGCGCGAAGCGACCGAGCGAGGATCGAAGCATAGCGAGCGAGGATCGAAGCATAGCGACCGAGCGAGGGAGCATAGCGACTGAGCAGGGGGAGGGTGTGGTGTCCCCCCTCCCACACGATGGAGATTTTGCAATTATTACACTAAAATGGAGCGATCTGGTGCATACCTGAGGTGAAGTTTTCAAATGGGATTTTTTTCCCCTTTTTGCTTGGGGAGGGGGGCTCGGGGGGGGGGGCGAACCCCTCGAACCCCCCCTGGCTACGGGTCTGGTGGCAGTACAATGGACGACGACCGGCGACGGCGTTAACCGTGGGATGCTGTTCGTTGCAGGCGTGCGAACGAGGTCGTCAAGGAGATAGCAGACGACGACGATGACGACGTGCAGTACCTGCCCACCTCCATACCGACGCTACAGCCGGGTGCGGGCCGCCGCCTGAGCGAAGGTCCGGAGTCCCCGCGCACGGTAAGATGCCGCCCGCGACCCAGGGGTCGTGCGTTGACTCCAGGTCGTGCGCGCGTACTAACCCCTGTGTTAGATGTCATGTCGTTGTGCGCGCACTCACACCTGTGTTAGAAGGTCACGTCTGTGTGGAAATTGAGAGGCCTGTCTATAAATGACAGTTTTGGTGTTTACCTTGGGTGACGGTTACATAGCGAGAACACTTCTATAGAAAGAACACCTGTCTATAAAGGACAGTTTTGGTGTTTCGCACGAGTGGCAGCTATAGAGAGAGCATGACCTTTAGCGCATGAAAACCTGTGTGTTTAAGGTCACCATTTGTGGGGCTTTGTTGATTGATCCCTGTATTCAGGTTTGGCTGTAAGTTTACTGGCCTGAGTTTTACTCGGTCCGAGAAATTAGGACGAGCCGATGCTCGCAGAGTTTGATGGTTGTTTTTCCTGTAGGAGACGAGTGGAAAATTGGCGCCACCTATGGGAGATATTAATACACACCGTCAAAGCCCAGCCGCCTCCCAAGTTCAACCTGCAGAGGGGACCAGTGAAGCGACCGTATGTACTCTCTATCTCTGTCTGTCTGTCTGTTTCTCTTTCTCTCTCTCTATCTCTATCTCTCCTTCCCTCTCTCTCTTTCTCTCTTTCTCTATCTCTCTTTCTCTCTCTCTCTCTCTCTCCTCTCTATCTCTGTCTGCTACTCTCTCATCTCTCTATCCTCATCGTCTCTCTCTTTCCTCTTTCTCGTCTCGCTCGTCGGCTCTCACTCTCATCTGTGGTCTTTCTCTCTCTTATCTCTAGCCTTCTCCCCTTTCTGTTCTCCTCTCTCTCTCTCTCATCTTCTTCTCTCCTCTCTCTCTCTCTCTCTCTCTCTCTCTCTCTCAGCTCTCTCTCTCTCTCTCCTCTCTCTCTCGTCTCTCGTCTCTCTCTCTTCTCTCTTTCTCATCTCTTTCTCTGTCTCGCTCTCACTCTCCTATGCTCTCTCTCTCTCTTCTCTCTTTCATTCTCTCTCTCCTCTCTCTCTACTCTCTCCTCTCTCTCTCTCCTCCTCTCGCTCTCCTCACCTCCTCTCTCTCATCTCTCTCTCCTCCTCTCTCTTTCTCTCTTCTCTCTTCTCTCTCTCTCCTCTCTCTCGTCTTTCTCTCTCGCTTATCTATCTATCTCTCCCTCTTTCTCTCTCTCTTTCTTTTTCTCTCTTCCTCTCTCTCACTCTCTCCCTCTCTCACTCTTGTCTCCTCTTGCAAAGCAGACTCAAGCTCGCCACGTGCATCGAGAGTCAGCGAGAGTCGAGTCTCGTAACCTTTCTTCCTTTTTGCAGAGAGCTCTACAGCGGATGCAAGGTGTTCGCCAAGAAGAACAACGACGTCTGGCACAAGGGTACCGTACACGAGATGGGAATGGGAATGACCAGAGAGGTGAGGAGTGTCTCGTCACTGCCTCCCTCGTTCGTAGATGACCTCGTTCGTAGATGACCTCGCTCGTAGATGACCTTGTTGGTCGAATTGCCTCACGTGTCTTCTTGTCTTGCCCTCCCTCCCAAATCGTTTCTCTGAAGCGATCTTTTCTACTGAGTCACTCTTCGCTTTCTTTTTCCTTATTACGGAATTTGTTCCCTTATTACGGAATTCGTTCCTTGTTACGGAATTCGTTCCTCGTCCTGAAATTCGTTCCACGTCACATAATATTTGTTCCTCCTTACATAATCTGCTTCCCATTACGGAATGCGTTCCTCATTATGGACTTCATTTCCTTGTTACAGAAGCAGTTCCGGGTGAAGTTTGACTCAAAGTTGGGATCAAACTCCAAGTGGGTCGACTCGAAGCACATAGCTTACGCGTGTAGTCCGGACTGTGTGCTGCCCGTGGGCACACGCATCATAGGTGAGCACATCTCTACTAATGCCTGGCCATCTCGATTCGGTGTGTGTCTGATCTCGATTCGGTCATTGTTTTTAAACGCGAGATTAACTCGAGCGAATTAGTTAATTTAATCGATCACTTTCATTTTGTACAGTTGTATAAGTAAAGAGTGTTGACCTTTGCACGACACCAGCAACTCTATACTAACGTGGTTTGTCCCTCGCTACCACACACACTACATCTACAAACACACACTGTCACGTTACATCTACCGACGCACACACACCTTGTTAACCTCGCTCACGCTCACTCCCTCATCATCTGCTGGCAGCGCGCTATGCTGACAACAGCAACTCTATACTAACGCTATGTGTCCTTCAGTACCGCACCAACCCAACCACGCGTCGCATCTACCGACACATCTACACCTTGTTTACCTCGTTAAATCGCTCACTTCGCTCGCTTGTATCACGACGTTGTAACACGACGTGTCTCTCGCTATTGCACACGTTACATCTACTGACGCTCATAGGGTCTATGTCCCCCAGATTACGCTACATCTACCAACACACACCCCGTTAGGGTGAATTTTTTTTTCACGGGAGCTCTTTTTCAAACGTCTGTGAAAAAATAGCTCTTATCATAAATTTTATGGGAGCTATTTTGAGCCTCACGGCAGCGATTTCGGAGTTTTGAAGAGCGAATCGCTCGTCGCTCCCGTGCATTTTTTACCCTGCACCCTGCATTTCATCGCTCGCGTCGTCGTCTGCCTGCAGCGCGCTACACGGACGACCTCGCGGCTGCGAACGCCGCGGCGGCGTCCGCGGTGGCGACCGCGGCGCAGCAACGCGAGGACGTGGGGGAGGAGAGGCGCGGCGCCGGCGGCTGCGCGCAGTACTACGCCGGCGTCATGGCGGAGCCGCCGAACCCGCGCAACGGATACACCTACCTCGTGTTCTTCGACGACGGCTACGCGCAGTACTGCCGCCTCGAGGAGATCCACGTCGTGTTCTCGACGAGCCGCAACGTGTGGGACGACGTCTACGTCGACTCGCGCGACTTTATACGCGACTACCTGCAGCAGTACCCGGAGGTAGGTGGCGCCGCCGTGCGCGTGCGCGGGGGGATAGGTGGCGCCGCAACGTGTGCGACGAGGTCATTGTTTCGTGTCACGTTCGATACGTTAACAGCGCATGTGTTTTGAATGATCTGTCAACTGTACATCCTTACCGGACGTATCGACACAAACTCTCACGTCGTTGCATCTCACATGCTCACACCTTTACAGAGACCCATGGTCAGACTCACTAAAGGTCAGTCGATCAAGGTCGAGTGGAATGCGAGCTGGTGGTCGGCGAAGGTCATAGAGGTCAACGCCAGCCTCGTGAAGATGTACTTTGAGGCAGATAAGAGGACTGAGTGGATATACAGAGGCTCGACACGCCTGGAGCCACTCTACAGAGAGCTGGTGAGCTATAGTGCCATGCAGGCGTGTATATATATGTACATACATACACGTATATATACATACATATACATATATATATATATATACATATATATATATCTATATATATTTATATATGTTTATATATACCTATATATAGTCGAAACTGAGGCAACTAGAGAACTGATCCCTACACATAAACGCACCAATTAATTTGGCGTTTACATTGTTGATTAACCCTGACGCTGCCTGATGGACATGGGATGACACATATACATACCCATCCCTGAGCATGCTGCTACATGTTGAGAGGGATGCGGGGGATGAGACATACGCTCCCCCATGCAGCCATGCACTACTCTCCTGTGAGCCTGTGCACGATTGATGCATCGTTTCGTGTCGCATACATATATATATATACATATACATACCCATCCCTGAGCATGTAGCTACTGAGGGAGGGGGTGGGGGTGGGATGGTGACCCTGTCCCCATGCAGCCACTACTCTCCAGGGTGTATGACGGCTTATCGTGACACATAACCACACCAGAGATGCACCAATCACGATTTATCTGTATTTTATACGAATTTCTATTCCTTTTGCACCACTACGACCAGTTTGTATCAAACTACGAATTTTACTGTGATCGAAAAAAAAAATAATTTTGACATTTTTTGTCAATTTATTGTCATTATTGACCCTCAGAATGCAGGAAATTGCATCTCAGAATCAAAAAATTTTCCGGACCCCCCTAGCAAACTCGGGTCACTATGTGACTCTCGAACTACTAATTTGATGGCCAGAAACTACAGATTGCTTCAAATATGTGTTGGCATCTCTGAGATTCTCTGTATCGTGTGAATCTCTGTAGATGAACGCGAACCGGACACAGCAGGGCACCAACAAGACGGCGCGCCGCCACCTAACCGTGCAGAAGAACAAGAGGCCCGCCCCGTTCGTCGAGTACACGCGCGGCGACAGCTTCAACGGTAACCAAGGTAACGCATCGCCGACGCCATCTAGCGGTCGAATCGATAAATTTTGCAGTTTAGCGCGAGAGACGGTCGCCTGGCTAACGGTCGTGTTTTTTATGATGTTAGAAGCGGCGAAACAGAAGCAGGCGGCGGTGGCGCAACCTGGGATGAGCGAGCCGGGGCAGAAGAAGAAGATGACCGCAAGAAAGAGCACAGCGGGGAAGAAGCCGGCCGGTAAGAGATCGTTGATCGCGGATCTTATTATTGTCCGCTTCCTGCATGTGGTTACGCGACACATGGATATGTAGTTGTTGTGATGCAATAAAATTGAAACCGAAGATAATATGGCATTAGTGAATATATCTTTCTATGTGTCTGTATATCTATCTGTCTATATATGTGCGTGCGTGCGTGCGTGCGTGCGCGTGTGCGTGTGTGCATCTATATATCTATATATCTATCTATCTATCTATGCTTACATACGTGCGTGCGCGCGTGTATTTGTATGAGCGTGTGCATACGCGCATGTATATTTTATTTACATTTATTTAAAATGGCTGACGTAGACGTGGAACGCGAGGGACCACGCATCCTCTACGAACCCGCGGGACACTTCACTCAGCAGCAGTTCGACGGATCGGAGGGCCAGCGATTCACGCAGAAGATGCGTCAGCAGCCGGGCACCCGGTCCCGCTACTTCGCGCACGCGTGTCGGCCATCTTGCATCACGAAGGTCGACGACGATCCGGAGAAGTACAAGAACAAGAATCCGTTCACTATTCCGTTGTTGTTCGGCTGGGAAAGGTAAGAATTACAAGAATAAGATTCCGTTCCCTTGTTGTTCAGCTGGGAAATGTAAGAATTACATGAACAACGATTCGTTCATGATTCCGCTGTTGTTCGGCTGGGAAAGGTACAAAATGCAAGAATAACGGTTTGTTCATCATTACACTTCGACTGGGAAGGATGAGAAATAAGCGAGAAGAGGCCTTGCGCGCAGCAGTGGCCCCTGCCATTTTGAAATCTAGCGTTTTTACGTAGTGAACAACTGTAAAATGATAAACAGTAGAGGCCTTGCGCGCAGCAGTGGCGGCGGCCATTTTGAAATATTTCCCGTTCTCCTGACCGCAGGCAAATCGCGAAGAAGCATCCCGGACCGAAGCAGTTTGTGTTCTACCGCGCGCCGTGTGCCCGTCGTCTGCGCACGATCACAGAGGTGCAGCGCTACCTTACCGTCGTCAACTCTAAGCTAACGATCGACCTGTTCTGCTACGACCCCTACCTCGACCCCTACGGATACTTTGTGCCGAAGAAGGTGAGTCATGGCAGCGGCGGCCATCTTGAGTGAGAGTAGCAGACGCGAGAATGTCGCATGTATCTCAACCGGTCTATATCTCTCGCTTTCACTCTCTCTATATATCGCTCTGTCTCGCTCTCACTTTCTATCTCTCTCTCTCTACTCTCTCTCTCTCTCTCTCTCTTTCTCTCTCTCTTTCTCTCTCCCGCTCCCTCTCTCTTTCTCTCTCTCTCTCTCTCTCTCTCTCTCTCTTTCTTTCTCTCTCTTTTTCTCTCTCTTTCTCGCTCTCTCTCACTCACGCTCTCTCTCACTCACGCTCTCTCTCTCCTCTCTCTCCAGTCGTTCTGTGACATCAAGGACATCTCGTACGGCAAGGAGAACGTGCCGATCCCGTGCGTGAACGGCGTCGATCGCGAGTACCCGGACTACATCGAGTACAGCCAGCACCGCATACCGACGCGCGGCGTCAACCTCAACCTAGACCCGGCCTTCCTCTGCGGCTGCGACTGCGAGGACGACTGCCAGGTAGGAGCGGGGGGTTGGGCGGGGATGGTGGGAGTTAGGTAAGGGCGGGGATGGTGGGAGTTAGGTAGGGGGACCGGGCAGGGATGGTCGGAGATCGGTAAGGGACCGGGCAGGGATGGTCGGAATCTGGTGGGGAACCGGGGGAGTGTCAGTGAGGGGATGGTGGGAGTTTGGTATGGGACCAGGCGGGGATGGTCGGAGTTCTGTAGAAGAGAGTTGGGAAGCTCCTGGGGAAACGCAAGCTCAGAAGAAATGCCTTAAGCGCTTCCTGGTAGACGACGCATCGCCCGTCTTCCCTCCCACCAACGTCTTCCCCGTTCTTCCCGCAGGATCGTGAGAAGTGTGCGTGTGTGCAGCTCACCGTCACCGCCTCGAAGGCCAACGGAGGGGGAGAGGCAAACCCGGACGCTGGCTACCACGACCGCCGGCTCAAGGAAGCAGTCATCACAGGGTAGGTGTTGGGAGGAGCGCGCGTGGAGGGTAACGTTCCCTTGTTGTTCAGCTGGGAAATGTAAGAATTACATGAATAAGATTTCATTCCCTTGTTGTTCAGCTGGGAAATGTAAGAATTACATGAATAAGATTTCATTCCCTTGTTGTTCAGCTGGGAAATGTAAGAATTACATGAACAACGATTCGTTCATGATTCCGCTGTTGTTCCGTTCGGCTGGGAAAGGTACAAAATGTAAGAATAACGATTTGTTCATCATTACACTTCGACTGGGAAGGATGAGAAATAAGCGATTAACTCTAAATACACCCTAGAGTAAAAAAAGAGGCCGTAGCAGGGCTAAATCTTCGAAATACAACATAGAAACAATAATAAAATGCCATCAGGAACTTTTGCCAACGGCAACTCTGGTTACCATGACCCCCGGCTCAAGGAAGCAGTCATCCCGGGGTGGGAGGAGCGCGCGCGGACGGGGGGACTGGCGCGGGGCTTCACAATAGACTATCGAGACGTTAAATGTATTCTGCCTGTTGTAGAGAAACTCATTGTTAAACGAGTTTCTCACGATCTCGTGAATTTGTAATCTAATGATATGCTCCGGGAAATCGACTGAGAGGTGTTTTTGCGTCGTTTGCAGAGTCTACGAGTGCAACTCGACGTGTAAGTGTAGTAAGAAGTGTCACAACAGGGTCGTGCAGAATGGACTCAGCTTACGACTGCAGGTGTTCAAGACCGACAGAAAGTTAGTGGTGCTCTCAGTTGTCGATCAGCCGCCATCTTGCTGCGCTGTTGCTGCTCCTGTCATCATTCTCTTTCTTCCTCTGTCTGTGTGTCTCTCTCTTTCTCTCTATCTCTCTTCTCTTCCTCTCTCTCTCTCTCTCTTTCTCTCTCTCTCTCACACGCTTTCTCTCGCTCTCTCTCCCTCTCTCTCACGCTCTCATCCCCCTCGCTCACTCACTCGAGCCTAGCCGTCTGTGTGCATCTATCCGTGATTTACACGAAGTCATCGCGTAAACTTGTGTGATTGGCAATTGAATATAAGATTCTACATACCATATGTTGCATATGTAATTGTAATGCTATATTCTGTGTATGTGATGCTATATGCTGTGTATGTGATGCTATATTCTGTGTATGTAATGCTATATGCTGTGTATGTGATGCTATATGCTCTGTATGTGATGCCATATATTGTGTATACAACTGTGCTGAATAAATGCTGTGTGTATGAATGCTATATGCTGTATCTCACCGATGGGTGTTCGTTCTTACAGGGGTTGGGGCCTACGCTGCTTGAACGACATCCCAGCTGGCACCTTCATCTGCTGCTATGCCGGACAGCTTCTCACGGAGCAGGGAGCAAACGAGGTTCGTGTATGCCTCCTATGTATCTCCCCTTCCTCCTGTGATTGTAAATTCGTGGGCTTATTCTTAAGGGCGAGCCCCATCTGTGTGTGCAGTACATACATGAACATATGCACACGCACGCACGCATGCTACTTTAAACATTTAACGGTTTGGTCCTATTGACATCTATATATTCGTCAATTCTCTCTATTGACCTACTAGTCATACCTAAATAGTTACTGATATATTTGTGTCTGTCTCAGTCATACTCATAGCAGCCATACATATAGCAGTTGCTGATATGTCTACCTATGTCACACTCGCACACACGCACGTACGCACACACACACACACACAC